TGTTTATTATTAATTATTTATTTTTCCTTATTAAACTTTTATTTCGGAAAGCTTAGAACTAGTGTTTGTTAAACGGCTCATTTTGAGGCGATTTTAAAAAACGGTTAACTCACTTAATTATTAGGAAAATTATTATGCCAACCTTAAAATTTTGCTCATAGGTGGCAGAAAGGTTTGAACATTTATTAACGAAATTTAGAGGATTAGACAATATTATTCTGGCTAAAATATTGAGTCAGCCGTTTTTAAAAATCGGCTTAAATCGAGCCGTTCAACAACACTGCTTAGAACTAATAATAGGGTGGGATATATTAAGTAAAAAAAAATATGTTTGACATGAGTGATAAATGTTCCAAATTTTTTTTTTGAATTTTTGATAATAAATTATGAAGCAATAAAAATATCTAACTCCTTCCGCCATATTTAAGGCTAGTCTATTTATAAACAAACAAATAAAATGAAATTTGATATTGATTTATTTTCTCTTTATTTTTGGAGAAAAGGAAAGATATATTAAATAATTTATTTAAAAAATATTTAAAATAAAGTAAGTAAAATAATTTTTTTCTTTTTTTAAAATAAAAATAATGAATAAAGGTTTTTAGGGAGAACTGAGGGCTCTAGGGAAAGGTATATAATTTATATAAGGTGAAATAATCTAGATCATAACTATCGTAAGCCAGCTAGCTTTACTTTAATTTGTATTGAATTTAAGATTTCCTACCTCCATTATCTACCTAGAGTTAGAAATTGTTGGGTATACTTAGTTTATTTAGTTATAAGTTTTGGGGAGATAACTTAGTTTGTTTAGTTGTAAGTTAATTTATCTAGAGATAAGGAAGTTTGATGGCTATATGCTCCTAAATATCGTGCCTAGAGTTAGAAATTACAGAGTATCATTAGTTTAGTTATAAGTTAGGTTATTTGGAGAGGTTAGAGAATTAGATGATAATATACTCCTTAATAACAATTTGCTACCATCCTATCTTCAAATTTGCAATTTTATGATCTTCATAATTTAAAAAAGGGCAAAAGGTCCATAAGTGACAAAAAACGATGTATAGACGATCTTTGATTGAGCGTACTCAATTCTAGTTGAAATGTATAAATAAAATAATTTAATACACCCTAACTATGGTAGTCTATGATAGATTAAATGATTAAAATCATTTTAATTTGAATTGTATATGTGTAAAATAAAATAATATACTATACTATACCCTTGATAGTCTATATTTATACTTTCTAATTCCCTGCATAAATTATTATGTTGAGCAGATATATGAAATTTATGATTACAACATACAAAATGATAAAGGAGTTGTTAGAGTTTATAAACCATAGGTAACAAAAACTATTTATAGATGACATAGGATTAAATGTACTAAACTCAATTTTAAATATATCACTGTAAAATAAAATAATTTAATATATTTTAGCCTTAGTATAAACTTAATAGTCTATATTTGTATCTTCTACCTACCTATTTAAGTTTGCAACTTGTGCACTTTCATATTTCTATGTGGGTAAATTAATTCCAAAAAGAATAAATAGGTTTTAAGTTTGTAAAAACATAGGAACCAAAATGAAATAAATATAATAATTTCAAATTGATATTACAATTTATTTTAAAAATTCATTTCCTTCAAATCTAGGAGGAAGTACAAGAACTTAAACAGTTGTATATGCTATCTTGGGTTGTTGGCACCGTTTAGCAATATACAAAAAAATCTATAATCAACTTTAAGAGTTAAAATATCAAAAGGTTCAAACAGGTTCATATACATTTTTAAAGGTTCAGTCCAGGTTTGGGTGACAAAATTTTATAGGTTCAGGCTCGGTAAATAACGGTTCGTTTGAATCGTTAATCTTCTTAAATATCTACATATATATTATTGAAAGAAATTTTCAAAATGGCGATGATTATTTACTTAAAGCGAATATTAATTTTTAAAATAAAGTAATTCTAATTTCTAGAATTTAATAAATAATCCAAAAATCGAATTGATTCCCCATTACTTTTAGTAAACTTGGCGCTTTTTCACTAATATTTTTTATGTGAAGACCAGATAACTTAAGATGCCTCTGGCGGCGACAAACATTCCAAAGCTTACTTCCAAGTCCATGCAGTGTTTTCAGAGACTCCAAGTTGGACAGAAAGGCCTTTCTATTCAACAACACTGATCATAATAGAAAATATTTTTTTTATTAATTATCAGGCTGAGACATTTTATAAGTTCATGAATAAAAAAGAATACTAATATTGATAGCATATCAGCAGAGTTGTAAGTAACGCGTTATAGTGGACTACTTTGTTTTTAATAGCGGTAGTTAATATAGCTCCACTTTGAAAAAAATAGGGATAACGGTAGTGTGTTCCTTTTTTTAGAAAATTAGCTAAGTCGTGAGCTACTTCCCTATCTTTAAAAAGTATAATAAAATTATAAATACCAAAATTAAAATATAATATTATAATTAATTCAAATTTATTTATTTTTTAATTTTTATATTGATGAAGGTATACTGAAAGAAAATGAAATTCTCGATATAACCAATACTAGTATTTTTAAATTATAACAAAAGGTGGTTAAACTTATCTGTTTAAATTGTAAGAGAAATATAGCCTCAAATTAGGCAGGTATTTATTAACTCCTAATACCCCTAGAGGGATTTTTGTTTATAATGCAACCAAATTAGTGGCATTTTTTTATGAATGAATGAAGATTTGAAATGGATTTTCTCTGTGATCAAGTTGGAATTCAAAAACGACTAAGAATATAAGAGTATAGGTAATTCTTATAGAAAATTAGAACAATATGAATTAGTCAGTCTATATGTCCATTATTTTTTATTCAATTTTAATTTTTAAGATTTAATATGTGGCTGTTTCCCTTGAAATTTCTGTAGGTTAGTATAATAGGTAGATAGGAAATTATGTTACCAGTTTTAGTATTATAACTACAAATTAAATAATCTAACGTTTCTATGCTAAAAGGCATTGAGAGAAGATAATTATCTAAAATTTGGAAATATTATTTTTATAGTCAAAATAAAAGTAACAATAATTTATTCAAAATTTAAGTTGGTTCAAATTATTTTGGAATAATAGGTATAAGTAAAGTTATATATAATTGTTCTGATTCTGACTGAATAATAAATAAAAGCTAAAAGATTTAAATTTTAATGATTAAAAAATATTTTAAATACACTAATTTTTTTACTTATTAGATTCCCAAATATATACAAAGATGATAATGTATTAGATGCCATGATTTCTCCGAATTTTAAAGTAACTGGTTATATATCTACTCACTTGAATCTAAAGATCAGAGTGATAGACTCATGATAAAGCTGAATAATCTTATACCAAACAAATAGAGTGCAAAAATTGAAAGTTTCAACGCAGCGTTTTAAAACACAAATAATGCATTCGTTTAAATGGACAGCATTTTTTTGTTTTAAATTTAGACGTTTCATATTAAAAAAATAAAAAATCAACGGTTCAATTTAAACAAGCGCTTCGATGAAACGTTCAATTTTGTGTGCACTATTAGTCACAACCCCCAAAACGACTTCTTCAGATATTTTTTTGAAATAAAATATACTAATCAAATACAATCCCTTGATGCCTTTTGTAAAACACAAAATACTCAATCAAAAGAACATTTTTGATGATTATTCTTATTTAGAAAAACTTTTATAAAATTAAATACTACATTACCCTTAAGTTCTGGTGATGAGCAATTAATTATTTAGTAAGGTAAAACTTATACTTAGTGATCGTCGGTCTAAATTTGGGGATGGTAATATAGAAATGATTTTATTATTAAAATGTAACAAGATAAATATTAGAATAGTTAATTTTTATTAAATTAATTTAAGTCTTTTTATATAAATTCTTTTATAAGCCAGAAACTAATTATATTTTATAAATGTTGATTTTTATATATACAATTACATTATAACCAAAAAAAGAAAACAAACTTGTATTTTCTTTATAAAGTTTCATAAAAAAGGGCAAGCTACCTAGTTTAGTGAGTAACAGTAGCACACTACTTCTATTATAAATAGGAATAGTGTGAATAGAAATAGCACACTACTTTTAAAAGTAATTTAACAGCTTTAAATGCCAAAGTCTATAATTGCCCTCTTTATCAATTTTGATAGATGAAAATTTATCAAAAATATTTTTTATATAATAAAAATATCAAATTTTATTATTTATGAATTTGATATAAAACTCAAAAATAAACTTTCAAATTTAAAATAATTCAAAAAATATTTTTGGGGATTTAAAACGTTTTTTTTTAAAATATTTATTGTAAAAATAGGTTGAAAATGTTTAAAAATTAATTTTTATTAAAAAAAGAATTTTAATATCTGAAAAAGAAAACTTAAAACAAGAGGGAACCAAACATAGATCTTGGAATTGAAAGAACAAAGAACACCACATATTTTTTTGAATAAATACATGAAATATTTTTTTTACAAATATAGGTTTCAACTAATACCTTAAAATATTGGTATTAGTCGAAAAATGTGATTTAACCCAAAAATGTGATTTTGTGCTTCTTTGGTTTTAAATGATTAAACTATTTAAGGATTAAAAATTCAATATTGCCATAAATAATGTAATAATTTAGTTACAACTAGTATTGTTCAAAAGTCTGATTTGAGTTGATATTTAGAATGATCCAATTAAGATTTTAGGAGGTCAAGATATGGCAAATAGATGTCCAAACCTTGAGCTATCTATGAGCAAAATCTCCAGGCTTACATAATATTATTTTATAAACTTAATAGTGCCATTTTTAAAAATCAACCCAAATTGGGATTTTTCACAGCACTAGTTACAACTATATCTATAGATATATGGATAATATAATTTTAGTAAATTTTATGATAAATGAAAACACAAGTGAGGAAGCAAAATATTATATTTATTTATATTCAAATAATTTAAAATATTATATTTCAAATAATTTTATAGACTAGAAATTTTATATCACATATGTGGAATGAAAACATCATAAAAATTACATATACAAATAAATATATATATATAAATAATATAAAAAGATGTATTTTTTCTATATACAGCTTTAAATGTTTGTGATCGTTTCAATTTTGGGTATTAATGGAATTTTGTATCCATAAACACTGGGTGGTAACAAAATTTTCAAAACATGGTGAAGAATAATAGCAGTAAGACCCCAAATCCTGATTTTAGAATCTTCCAATGACTTACTCTTAATATCTATAAATTTATTATGGTTATTTTTGGGAGGTTTAACAAAATATATAGGGAGTGAGTAAGTCATTTTGCCTGCTATTTTGTATTGAGTATGTGCTATATTATTGGGATTGCATAGGTCCCTGATAGGTACAAATATAGCTTGTTCAACTTCAGTTTCACATAATTTAAGCTGTGATTCATTGATAAAACCTCCAGATACAAAACCAACGAATGGAGTTATGAGTGTTTTTAAATCACGACTTGGGAAAGGATTTAGTTCACTCCATAAATCAATGCGATCAGGATTTAAGCCTACCTCTTCCAATGTTTCTCTTAAAGCTGTGTCTTTGAGGGATTGGTCTTTATCAATTTCAAAAATACCACCTGGAAAACTTATGTCACCACTGTTGCGGAATAAAAATTTGGTACGTCTTATAAAAAGTATACTACTTGAGGGTATCAGAGGGCTATATAAATTATTTTAAATAGATTAGGATAATTTGAAGGCTTGACTAAAATATGCGCCTCCAAAAACTATGCGCCTCCTATCAAAGAAGCTTAATTTAAATTATATTAATGCAGAATCATATTTAGCTTCATAAGATGAGTTAGAAAATGTTTTTTTTATTTAAAAAAAATGGCAATATAGTAATATTTTAAAAAAAATTTAGTCAAAAAAGAAGAAATTAAGTGTATTTTCAAAATCTCAATAAGTTATAAACTTAGTATTAACATTTGTTGATTCCTTTTAATAAGTTATATATGATTCTGCGTTCAATTTTTATATATTAAGCTTCTTTGACAGGGGGCACATAGTTTAGTCATGTAAAAAAATAATTCTTTAAAATTTTTACTATGTTGCCATTTTTTTAAATAAAAAACAACATTTTCTAACTCATCTTATGAAGCTAAATAAGATTCTGTAATAATATAATTTAAATTAAGCTTCTTTGATAGGGGGCACATATTTTAGTCATGCCCTAATTTGATGAATTTTTGTATTAGTTATTTAACAAAAATTTATATTACATTTGTACGTTTTCCAAGGAATAATCAGCAGGATCAACTATGCATAAAGGAACTAGAACTGCAGCTTGTCTGATTTTCATTAAATGATCGGCATTGTAGGTCCAACGATGATCTATGTTAGAGCATTCTTGAAATTTGACTTTATTAAGAGGGGAGAAAATATTATCAGGAGAAAAATGTTTGTTAAGAATGGCAGTAGTACTAAAAAATTTGTTTGATATTCTTTTGGTAAAATACAAATACATGTAATTCATTCATTAAAGAATTAGTTATTTTTTGGAGAGCCTATCTGAATGTGTTATAAAAAAGATTACATCACCTGTCAGATTTGATATATATGTCATTGTATCTACTCGTCTTTGTTATTTGATATCTTAATTGAGTCGAGGTCAGGTTATACATATTTATTTCCCGAAATTAATCTCTTGAAGAGGTTGTTGTAAATTTATAAGATTAGCCATATATAGATTAGGGTGAATATTATAAAAAGATGGTTAAAATATAAACCCATATGTTTCCTGATGACCGACGTATCAATATTTATCAATAAAAGGATTGCGCGAAATTCAAAATTATGGAAGCAAAACCTGCAATTTTAGAAATTAAAAAAAAACTTAAAGAATATTTTCCAGAATTTACTGGTTCCTTAGAATCATTATGCAATCCTCAAGTAAATTTTTGCATACAATTAAAATAAACTTTATAATAGTTTATTCAATCTAGGTTGATGATTATTAAATCATTTTTGGAGAAATATTTAAATTATGATATTGATTCGATTTTAATGACAAAGGAAAATTATGTTGTTAATAATTATATAAATGCCTCAAATTATCAAGATATTAACCATCTTTCTACCTATGGGTTGATGGCACACAATACTCTTATGAATTTGGGGTGCCCAGACTTTTTCATAACAGATATAATTGTACCAGGTAATAATTTTACATGTGCATATATTATAATAAATAATTAGATTTTAAAAAGTGGGTCAAGATACTTGGAGCAATATGCAACTTTCTTGATTATTTGAAAGATAATAAGCAATATTTTTTCAAAATAACAGAACAACTTTCCAACATGCAAACAAATATTCAACAAAAAATGGATTATGTTGATGGCATCAAATCTAATATTGATGATTATAAAGGGAAAATTAATTGTGCACTTGGTGAAAATGTATTAAAATTTAATTTATAATAACGTAATATGTGATATTCATAGGACAATGAAAAATGTTATGAATTTGAAAAATCAAATAATTTTATAAAATCAGATATTGACACTTTAAATAATAGAATGGAATTTATAAAGAAAGATTTAACAAATAAAGAAGAAAATGAACATTTAAATAAAAAAGTTAATGAAGTAAAATTTAAATTTACCAAATATAACTTAAGCATATGATAAAAGTTACATTTGAAAAATCAAAAATTGTCTGAGGAAATAGTTGTAAATCCAAATTTTTTAACAGAGGAAATGGTATCCATGAATCAAAAATTTGAAGATCTTAAAGAGCAAAAAGTATTTTAACAAGTTAAATTGATAATAAATCATGATTTACTTTAGTAAGCTGTGTGCTTCATAAATTATTTAGCAATAAATATTATACTTGTATAACAAATAAAGGGGGGCCATATAATTTTAAAATATAATAAAATGATTATATTTTGGCAACTCTACCCATTAAAACTTCTACCAATGAAAACATTTTCTTCTTTAACAAGAATAAAGATATGATTGAAAATGTTTCAAATCCTATGATTCTACTTTCTCTATAGATATTATTGTTCTTTTTGGTTTCTGAGTAGTAAAATAGTTAAAATCTCATTGAATAGTTATATTTTATAATTTCTTAATGACTTGTTGACACTGTAAAAAAAATTGAGCAGCAAACTTTACAGCATAGCTCAACCAAATTCCCAGAGTTGTGGCAAAGGGTAAAATTGCCCATGATGATGGGAACTGGTTACACATGTCTACTTATAGGTCATAAGACTTGTAAACTATTATATTTATTTATTTACAATATTCTCAAATTTTGTTATAAAAAGGAATATCTAATCAGTAAATTAAAATCGGGAGATGATCACACCCTATTATGTCAAAGTGTTTTCTCCACATTTCCCAAGTTGCAAATTTTGATGGATGAATACGACGAAATTCTAATGGCCAAAAGGTTTAAATTTTTTCATGAGACCAGAATATATATCAGCTGATTATTATAATGTTTTATATCATTAAAAAAAAATTTTTTTTAGGAGAGAATTTAAAAAATATTAATATTTCATGCAAATAGGAGATCACACTGTAATAATCCATTATTTGCATTATTTTAAATTTTATTTTAACATTTTTTTATTGTTGATATGAAAGAATACTTGAAAATGATTTATCACTCTAGTAGGATAATTACCATAATTTTAGCCGGCTAATAAACCAAGTTTTTAATCAAAAACGATCACTTTGGCCTTGGAGTTTTTCCAAAAAAGATAGCAGCTCGAATTTGGAAAATTAATATAAATTAAAGCACCTTAATATTAATGGATTTTCTCCAGCAGGCTCTTAGTCGAAATTTAGCCATTACCTACTTTTAGTTATCATAGAATAAAAAAAATACATTTTGCAAAAATGGGAATATAGAACACTTTAATTCTAAGCCGACGATATATATAGGAATAAAAACGAGTGAGCTAATTTGAAATATGATTAAAAATTAGATTCGTAATAAATTACTAAAAGGTCCATCAAAGTACAACTCGATGAAGAAAGGATTGAAATTGAGAAAGTGGTTTCTCAGAATCAGAAGTATGCCCTGGAAATCGATCAACTGACAGAGAAGGATGCGAAGCTTAAAGATAAAATATCTAATTTGGAGTGTAATCATAACGAGAATACCAGAGTCGAAAATTTGAATATTGCAAATGCAAAAAGGTTAACTTCAATTTCATTTGAATTTTTTTTATATCATACTCTAATTTTTTACTTATTATTAAAGTTTATTAATTTTTAAGACGATCTTTTCATTTCGATAATTTAGTAAAAAATCTCAAACAATTGACTTATTATTGAAAGCAAGTGGCACCTTTGATGATTTAAGAGCCGAAGAACAAAGTTTGAAAAAGATATTGGACGAAAAAATTGCCAGAAATAACGCCATGTTAAAAGAGGCCAAAGAGAATTATAAAAAATTTGTCGATATGGTATTAAATAAATTTTTAATATTGAATGGCTTTAAATTTTAAAATATATATTTATATTAAAGGTTTCCAGATATTTTGCGTCACGAGAAGACAAATAAGTGAAACCCGCTTTACAATTTTTGATGCTTATAAGAATACTATAAATTTTATTTTATCAAATTGTAATATATATCCTTTTTCAAATTATAAATCGTATTTAATAAAAAATATTTAGATATAAAGTTATTTATTTTGAATTAAATCTTACGTCAGCAGTGACTTCTCTACCTTTTACAATCTCAGGGGGGGCTCAACTTTATTACTTTTGAGAAATATTTATAATATTACCTTTTTTTAAAGTAAATATTTGGAAAATTTAAATATTTTTTAAAGATATCTTCGAATTTAAAAAAAAATATATATTGACTCCACCCTTCTTCCCTAGTTGCACCAATAGTGGCTTATACTATTTTATAACTTATGGGTACTTGCCCCAACTTAAAGGACTAAACAATTAAGTTATATTTAACCTCCATTTTTATTACCATCAATTTTTAATTATAATATATTTAGCCTCATTTTATCACCTAAATTTTTATCCTTATTCAAAAATATAATTAATTTAATCATAATATTTTTATATTACCTGTTTTTAAAGTAGATATTTTTTTTTATATAATCATAAAAAACTAAATAGAAATTATTTCGTCAAAATAAATTTTCCCCAAATTTGACTTATTATCTTGTCTTTTATTTATTACAACTCAAAATTCATTAACCAATTTATTATACCATTATGGTATATACCTACAAAAACACGAATATGCATTATACGTATTCTTGAATCGAATAATTGTATTATACCTGTTCTTACGAATAATAAAAACATTATCCAATTTGATTCGTCCAATATTTGATTCGATAATTAAATTCTATCTTAAATTTTTTTTTTTTTAAATTAAGGGATTTTATCTTAAAATATTTCTTATGCATGAAAATTATAATTAAAATTTAAAAAAAAAAAATTAATTTTCGGATCAAATTTTGTTATTCGTATTTGTAGAAATGATATATTTTAGGTATAATAGTATGTAAAATTATTTTATAACACCATCCATTTTTAATATGATATCACTTACCCCAAATCATGCGCTCGTTTCTAATCTGCAATATATCACCCCCGTAACTTCAGAAACCGATTCTTTCTGTATTCCAACCTAGGTCGAAGTTATAAACGGAGAGCAATAGCTATTCTAAAACATTAATTTTTGCTTTGAAGAAAATTTATAACATTACCTAATATTTCAACAAACCATATATTAAAATCCATAATGTTTGATGCTAAACATCATTATCCTATTGTGATATGAGGTTAAACATTCATTAGCAGTAAAGAGTAGTCAATCAAAAGAATTATTTGAATAACTTGCTTTCTCCATAAACTGGTGTTCTTGTAAAAACCAGTTTCTTATCATTTTTTACAATATTTTGAGACTTCTTATTAGGGCTGTGCCGATCCACATATTTTTTACCGATCCGATCCGATATTTTCCGATATTGGTTCAAAACCGATCCGATATTTATATTAATTTTTTACCACCCCTCTTTGAACCAAATGTAATTAATAAATCAATATTTTTTTTGCATAAAAGAATTATGCATAATTTAATTTTTTTATTTCAACAATAATTTAAAAAAAAATATATAATAATATATCCATTTTATGTTGGTTTATAAAATTGTAATATTTAATATATAAAATTATAATATATTAGATTTTTTTTAATAAATATAAGAGCCTCTAGATTTTCAGGCAATAGGCTTCTACGATGAGGACTATCAATATCCCCTGCTGTACTAAGGCAGACTCAGATGGGACACTTGTTGCTGGAGGAGCCAAAAATTTACGTGCAAGTGTTGATAAAGTTGGAAATTTTACAGCATTAACTCTCCAATATTCAAGTGGATTCACTGGGGATATAATATTAATATCATCAATGTTATTCGAGTTTTCTAAATAAATAACACAAATATAAAATTAGCATTTATAAAATAGTGGGTTTCATACAAACCCAATCTTTTGTTGATTTTGAAAAATCACCCAAACA